AATAATAATGCAGATTATAGAATTCAAAATAATTCATAGAGAAGTTCAAATTATGCTTCAGCTTCAAAAAAAAAAAAAACTATGCTAAGGTCAAATGATCACTTTATATCATTATATACAATGGGAATTTGTGGAATAATATCAGTAAGCTTCTAAATCCTCAATTATCTTCATCGTTACCAACGTTGTTAACCCGTTCACATTCATCTATCCATTCACTGTATCTGCAACACAATATTGATTCAACGTTAGAGTCCAAACAAATTAATTCAATAAAAACTATCAAAGTGGAATCATTGAAACATCAATAGAACTCACACGTCAACCGGTTCAGTTAGCACTGCAAAAGAAAAAAATTGTTTTAGTTAATCTTTCTAAAACATTCCAAGACTACTCTAAACAGTATGCACAGTAGCATGGATAGAATGGAAGTTTTTCTGAATTCAACAAATCAAGTAAGTTCTTTGCTCTAGGAAAACAAGTAGTCAAATCTTCTTAATTTATTGTTTATGCTTTTATTTAAGAAAATAATAAAAATTGTACAGATCATGTTCATTTGAATCAAATAAATTTTTTTTTCCATTATTCATAATAGTCATACCATTCGCAGTAGTATTAAATTCCTCCAGACAAACCCAACATTTGGCTGTAGCAGTCAAATTTTTTATGTCTCTGCAAGATTACATATATTGCAGTAACATAAGTAACATCAGTATATATATATATATATATATTTTGAATACTTGATGAAAAAATTGAAGAATGAGTAAAACAACATACATTAAACACTCAACACAGTCTGGATGGTTGCAGAATGGACAGAAAAATGTTTTATCAAGCGGCTTCATCTTTTTCTTGGGAGGAGGCTTGGACTTTTTCTTTCTTTTCCCCATGAATGAACCTAGAAAGCTTTCCTTCAACTCAGTATTGCTGCAAGAAGAAAGCCATTCAATAAAAAATCAACATTAATATTGACGGCAATCAAATTTTGCTTTATGCTTGAACTTATTGAGTTTCAAAAAAACACACAATGCCTACCAGTGAAAAAAAGTTATCACACCTAAAAGCCTACAATGAATATTTGGCTTTATGCTTGGACTTAATGGTGTTGACTATAAAATGATCATAGACTATTAAATAAAAAACCTCAGGTTGATTTCAATAATCATGATACAATTAAAGAACTCTCAGAAGAGAATTATAAAAGTTGGATCCTAAATCCACATAACAAACTAACAATTGAGATTATTTTAGTTCTTAATGGACATAAAACATGGGATTTGTTTCACAATTGAGATTGTTTTAGCTTTTGATAGTGAAGTGTAATATTAATTGTAATGATGAAAAATATTAATCATGGGAGAATGCATGAAATTGCATGTCAGCATAATAATATATTGCGTCAATAATAATGGATCAAATAAAGTTTTATAAACTAATACATCATTCATGATTCCATTTGCCCAAACAATCAAGTATAGCTTTTTCAACGATTACACAAATGTTAAAACTAATAAAGCTTGTCTTCAATGATCTAAGTTAAAATCAAGTAAAAACTAGTGCAGCAACAAATCAAAAGCATCAATAATATAAAGATATACATGAGAAAAAGTCATTGTATGAGGAAAAATCCGAAACCAAGAAACCAAGATTCAAATTACATGAGGCACTCAAACAATTTGATATCCCTATATTTTCTTGAAGTCGTAGCTTAAAAATAGCTAGATTAAGCTATAGACAATTTAAAGGAATAAGACCAAAGGAAATCATCTATATAATAATATTTCATGGCATATTGTGTCTTACTTTTTTAGTTATGCCATGTCATATTCCCATATTCATGTCTGTGCTCCATAAGAAACCAAAAATATATCATTGGTAATAGGGGTGTCAATATTTGACATGACCTGAAATCCAACCCGAGCACGCCCCTAAACCCGACCCGAAAAAGTTTGGATTCAGTTCAACCAGTTTGACACATGGGTCGGGTTTGGGTTTGGCAAGTTGCCCATTTCAAAAGTGGGGTCGAGTTCAGGTTGACCGTGAAACCCAAAAATGACCCGTTTAATCAGGTTGTACACCAAAGTCGATGCGAGATCCCTCATCTCCGTCATGCATTGCCCTCCTGGCTGCCTCTCATCTTAAGGCTACCTCCGATAACACAAAACCCGCCGGCAGCCGCCTCTTTTACTAGCTCATATTCACTATCGAGCAATTCGCCCTAGCCGCATGGCCCATACCAACAGCAACCCCAGTTCAAGGTTTCCTAGCTTATGGCCACCTGCACGACCTGCACCTCCCTGTGCTTTGCCAGGCTTCGCCCGCACAGGATTGCCTCTGCGCTCATTTGCACGTTAGGTCAGGTCAACCCAGCAACCCGTGAGGATCGGGTCATGATTGGATTTTCTTACCCATTTGCAAAAACAGGTCAGGTTAGGGTCTACCTATTTAAACACGGGTCCATCCTAGTTCGACTGGAACCCGACTTGCGAGCCCGCTTTAACACCCCTAATTAGTAATCTCGATCGATCAAACCCACTAGGGCATGAGATCAAGCATGATGCAAACTGTTGATGCAATTTAGCTCTAAACACATAACAAATTGAATATTAAAAAGAAAAATTCAAAAAATAAAATTAGAAATCTAAAGAACGAGCGAAAAATGAAAGATTTTTCAAAAAGATAAGAATGACTAAAGATCTTAGAGGACAAGTGGAAAAATGAATGAAGGCCCAAAAATAAGAGAAGCCATCTATTTATATTACTTTAAAAGGAGATTTACATAGAACTACGAAAGCTTTTCAATTTATATATTTAAAATCTAAACTTTAATATTTATACAACATAACACGCTCCTTAACTCCATTACAAAAACCTTCGACTACGACGAATATGATGTTAAAGATAAAATAAGATTTTTAAAAAAATTATTAATATTTCCATAGAGATTTTCCTAATACTTAATGTGGGTAAAACAAGCTTCATATTATTTTGAGGTATATAAATGTTCCCTATAAAGTAAATCTTTATAGTTAGTTAAATTACAACAGTAGGTGATCTAATGAGAATACTCTTTATTAAAGTAACAATAAATATTTTTTTGATATCAAAGTTAAGAATAATTAATCTAATTTATATCTTTATAAAATTCAATTCATAATTTGAAACATCCTTAATGCATGGAATGAAAGCTTTTAAGATTAAGGCTTCGTTTGGAACAACTTTCTTATTATTTCTTAAAGCATCTTTCTAGTACAAAATTAAAATTTTGTATTAATAAGTTGCTTTAAGAAGCAATAAGAAAGACGCCCCAAATGAAGCCTTAGTGATTTCATCAATTTTTTAATAAAACTTAACTAGAAATTTACATATGAATTTCAATCCATTTTTGGAAACATAGTAATTGGAATCCAATTTTTTTTTTTTAAGAGTAAGTGATTTCATTATAAATCAATGACTTGAAATCTATATGAATATCAATAAAAAATTCTTAATGAAATCAGATTTTTCTTTATTTCAAAGATAGCAAAGAAGAAAAAGTTGGAAGAGAATCAATATATCTTTTTTTTACATTTCAAATTTATCTGCAGGCCATCTCTTTTCCGGCAAGCTCCCATGAGACTTCCCACTTCATCATTTGCAAGGGCTTTTTTTCTCATATTACTCGGGTCTAAAAGAAAGATTTTTTTATTCTAATTCTTTCATTTATTATTTAAATGATTGTTTTAATCAGTATTAAATCCACTATATCTCTTAGAATTCTTTTGCTTCAACGCACATCAAATGATATTTGATTCGAGCATAAATAGGTCCCATAAAAAAAATTTACGCGAGAGATTATCAAGTATGTGAAGAATTCGTAAGAAATGATTCTCAAAAAAATCATATTAAATTATTATTGATCTCATCACATGTGTCTCAAAATATAATGGTGAACATAATGTAACTCATATAATATATTGAATTCTAGGATTAGCATTATGAGCGATTTCACACATCAATAAGATATGACATGATTATATAAGGTGGCCTATTAGTGTATGACGGGATCCTTTGGGATTTGTAGGTTAAAACAATTAAAGAGAACAATTTAAACTATCTTGATCAAAGATATCAAGCAATTCAAATCGCAAATGTGATGATGGAAATCAGTAAGAAAAGATTGAATGGTTTTCATGCATGTCATCATGAAAAAAGAGTCGCTTGCGTGATCATGGTTTTATATATATCGTACTATAACTACACAGTAGAAATGTAAAAGCTGTCAAGTTTACTGTGTGCACCCAAAAATTCAATAAAAAAGAAACCCTATAAAGAACAGAAATCATATGTAAATCAATGTCTACATTCTTCATTGAGACCATCAATATTCCTCCCAACTCACACATCAAGAAAGCTTGTATTAGCATTTGGTATAATTAAGATTTGACTTTGTTTGGGACAGTTTCCTATTATTTTCTAAAGCAAATTTTTTATTCAAAAATTTCTTGAAAGCATTAAAACAAAATGGCCAAAAATTATCCCGAACAAGCATAGATCTTCATGTGCCTATCTATTAATGTTCTAATTGATGCATAAAAACAATCGAGCACATAAGCAATTGGTAAGAGATCAGATGCTACAAACTTGATGTTCAATGAGACATGCAATATTTCAACATTTATAAAACCAGCATGCAAACTATACTTGAAATAATTTTTGAAATCAATATTATGAAGAATTGGACAGTTAGACAATGAAAATCAACTGATTTTAATTAGTTTATGTATATATTACCTTTAAAAAAATACAACGATGATTTAATATTTTAAACAAAGAGCAAACATATATATTTTATTGAATAAAATAATTCAACCAATATACAAATTGTAATTAAGGAGACCCAACTACAAAAGCTCATGAAGATCAAGTAATTTCATCGTAAATCAATAACCTGTTCAAATATATTTGAATTTCTATAAATAATTTGAAAAATCCTTAAAGGAATCATATTTTTCATATAACCAAGAATTTTGTTGTTGAAGAGAATCAGGATTTTCTTACCGTTTCGAATTTATTGAATGTCTATGGCTTCTCCGGCGGCAAGCTCTCGTGCGATTTCCAGTTCGTCGTCGGGAGGGCTATTAGGGAATAGGAAAAAGGAAAGGGGGAGAGAAAGAGAGAGAGAGAGAGTAAAGAATCGATAAAAATAGTTTGCTGTTGATCTCTTTTTATAGGTGTGAAAATAAAAAAAATTGTTTGCACGAGAAGCCACAGTTAAAACCGACTCTTTTTGAGACGTGGAGCAATGCGATAATGGACCGTTAGCTTATTTTAGAAATCGATGTACGCCATTTTTAAAAGATAGCAAAAATAAAAAAATAATTTGCATAATCAAATAAATGCAGTTAGTAATACATTTTTTTAAACTTATCAGATCTCCGATAAAATCTGCAGATCATCTTTAAGTTTTTGTAGGTCGCCATAAAGATTTATGAAAGTTCCTAAACAAACAGATATTCTGAATTGTTAAAAATAATTATTGTGAGTCTTCGCAAAATATTTTTAGGCCTATGTAATGTAAAGTTTTAGAGCAATCCTAAAATTTTGCCGGCATTTGTTAATGTAGATTTTAGGAATTTTTTTCTAATCAGTTCAAACTATTTTTAATTCAATTAATGCTGAAATTCGCATAATTTTTTTAATTTCAGCTGCTAATAATTATGCGGAAATTGATATTCTTAATAATTTTGTTGGTTTTATAAAATCTTAGGTGCAAAATATAAATAGAAATACTATCTTTTGATCAAAGACTTTTTACCATACCAATCTGAGCCAGCGCGAGAAAACCTCCACCAAGTTCTCTTTTGAAAATTTTTCTTACGAGTTTTCTCCTAAGATCAATTAAGAGACCGAGAAGCTTGCTTTCCATGAGATCTTGAAAGCCTAATTTGTGGTTCGCACAATTACGTCATGCTATCATTATAAAAAATGCTAGTTATTGGGACACCATAAATTGCCCTGATAAATAATTATGAGGGCACATGAACTATTCTGACAGTTAATAAATGTGCTCTTTGTTTGATGTTTATTTTTATTTTCTTATTTTTTTATGAGAAAATTCGCATAGGGGATTATACGTTTCACAAATTTTAAAAAAAAGTATATGTCTTTAATGAATCAAAAGTTCTCTAAAAATACAGCCTTTGAACTAAAAAACTATGAGCTAATGATTTAACTAAATAAAAAAAACGAAAAGAAAACTAAAGAGATAACACCATAAGGGAATAAAGGAATTAAATCACAATAGGAAAGCAGCATCAGCAACACAGCAACAAAAGGAGCCACAACAACTTCTGAAAATCTGCACAAACACAGAAAAATAGAGACAAGCAAAAAAGAGAAACCAATAACCACAGATACGATAGCCCATAACATCAACCAGGATAACCCACTAAAACATCCCCAACACTCACACAACCCAACAAAAGCCAAAAAACATAACATCAAAAGCATAGGATAGCCACTAATGGGTGAAAACCACACCACCCGCATGCCCTAGCCGCAACATCACGCACATAATCAAGCATCTCTCACTAAAACAACATAGGCCCAGCCACCAACAATGCACAAAAAACATCAAAGACAGGCTCACACCAACCACAAGGACAAGACAACATTTTCTTATATTTGCATCTATGACGCTTACCAATACGTGAGAAATCATTATCAACAACATGACTCATATTTAGCCCAAAAAAATTATGAAATGTTGTATTGATTATACTACAATCAAAATCTTTATAACTTTTGATAAGTGTACTAGCTTCCACATCAAGTGATAGTATTACTTCTATATTAGTGTGCCTCAGGCTAGTTCCTTAAGGTTTAACAACCTTCATGAACTTTCAAAGACAACGATTGAGTGACGATGGCCAAGCAATGGTTGTGGTTGGAGTTGTTCATTAACATAAAATGTTAAGTAAAGATCTAAAGTTTTTAATATCTCCAAGATCTCTCCAAAGTTATATATATCCCCTTCATGTGAATGAGGGTTTATTTATAATACTTTCTCCCATAGAGAGAAAAGCTCTCATAGAAAGAGAAGCTCCCGTAGAGAGAGGAAAACCCAGTTTCCTTTTGAAATTCCCTGTTTTTTCGAAAATGGCGGGGGAAGATCGATGGCATTCGTCGGCAATCATTCCTTCTTCATCGTTACTTCCCCCATAAAGATTATCATGTGGATCTCCTTTAATTATAAGAGATGTGTCAGATTGTTCAAATGTGATTGCTTCTTGAGTTGAAGAAAATCTCTCTAGTAAAAGTAAAGGAATTATTGATGAAAATAAAGGTGTTCCCTCAAGAAATTTCATCACCTATAATTACAAGAGTAATGCCTACAAAGCTTCATCTACATATGGTGAGAAATTGTTGGTTAATAGATTCTCTTGTTGAGATAGTTGCTACTTAGTTTTACATGTTTGATATTCTTGCAACTTATAAATTTTTTATGATTCAAAATATTATTGATTTGATTATTATTTCTCCTAATATATTTTGGAAGAATTATTTTTTCTCTATGTGTACTAATTTTCAGATAAATCATACTCCGGATTGTTTGAAGACTACAAATCAATAACATTTAGAGTTTGTTATAATCGAAGTCTGTATTTTTTAATTTTATTGAGTCTGAGAATGTGTGATTGTAATTGAGTAATGAGCACACACCATACACCGGGGGAGAGTTTTAAAATTCATATTTTTAAACTTATCATAATATAACGATATCACTTCGTACGGGATGATCTGGTCAGTTATTTTTCCAAGAACAGTTGAACGAATAGATTAGAATTTTTTTTTCTAAGTATGAATCGTACTAAATGATATTTAATTTTATCCCAGGACGAATGTCTCTATTCTGTCCTTTGAAAGAAGATTGTACGGATGATATTTAATTTCGTCCAAGATAAATGTTATGTTTTGTCCTCGCTCAATTTCGTCTTGATGTTTCACTACAGACAAAATTTATACCTAACTCCTCATTCCCTAAAAAATTTAGTTCGTACTAGACTATGATCGGTATGAAATGATTCGTACTGATTCACAATGGGTTCGTATGTAACAATATTTGAACTGTTTGTACGTACGAATATACAATCATATACTGTATGATTGTGTAGTTCAAAATTGAAAACTTTAGCTTTTGGACAATTTTTTCGTATCTTTTTATAAAAAAGGTCCACTAAACTGATTCTAAAATATTGTTCTATGTGATTTTTAAGGGCAATTGAAGGAGAGAGTGTTTGACAGAGATTTCTTTTAAGTGGAGTGTGAATGTTCACTAGGTTACTAGGACAAATGTAAGGTTCTCGCCTTGTATGATGATTTATCACTTCCTCTCTTATCTTCTAAGATTACTCATGAGAAGATCTTCGATAAGACCGATTCTCTGCCAACACTTGGGAAGTGGTGAAGGACGAAGTTCTCTGCCAACACTTGGAGGGTGTGAAAGGACGATGGTTTTATGCCGACACTTAAAAAAGTGTGAATAGCCGAAGGTATCTGTCTACGATTGGACGGGTGTTGAAAGGATGTTTGCTGCGCCGACACATAAGAATGGCACGCGTGTGAAAAGCACGATCGGTTCTATGCCCGCATACGGGGATTGTTGAAGAGAGTTTTGTAAAGGCTTTTTTTCCTTGCTATGAGGCGTGAAAGAGTGTCACTTTTTTGGTAATAATGGTAATATCTGAAGTGGGAGTCTTCAGAGAGTGGATGTAGGTCTGGTTTGCCGACCATAAAAGCTTTGTGTCATTTTATTTTTCTGTGCTTTATTTACTAATTGCAGTTTTATTTTTTTTGTTGGTTGTGAAAAAAGTTTTTAAAAACCTTAATTGATTGCTACTCATGTTAAACTGGTTTCATACTTTTAAATTCAAAGTGTAATTTTTTAATAAGTTATAATTCACTTTCATTTTCTCGTTAGGCCTTGGGAACAGTTAGTTTTAAAATTTAACAACCTAATTAAGATACAACACAAGGAATCAACAAGTGGTATAGAGCTTTGCTTCAATACCATATAGTTTAACTACCTTTTTGATAAATGAACATGGCTACTTTTAGAAACTGCAACAGACTGAAGGTATCTGATCACTAGCTCCTTTAATTTGACAACATCACATTTGATTTTAGAAACATATATGTCTATATTTTTATAGTCTTTAGATTTATCATATGTATCTTAGTACAGAAAAGGGTATACAAAAATCAATTAGATTAGTTTATGCGATTAGAGTTGAACACCTTTATACAGATTGGATCTGAAGACTATACAGTTTCTTTTTGCACTTAAACTTAAGACTACATGTGAAATTTCCACTTCCAAAGTGGAAAGAGATATGTGATAGTACTTTATATCAACTTATGAGGGACTAATTGAAGTAAAGAATCTAGATTTAACATCTTGTTATATGACTCTGATTATTTC